TTTTGGTTTAGATTATATTATTTCTTTATTTGGTTGAGGTCACAATTCAATGCGGACGAAGTCGCGGGCATAGCTGGTAATAATATAAATAATAATAATAATACTCTTTATTGTGCAGAAAAAGACAAAAAATACTTACAAAAAAAATAATTTAATACAAAACTATGCTGGCAAAAGGCGGCATCGCCCAAAGAAATCTCTTACAGGCAATAGAAGTGATAGAAGTTTTGAGTAAAATTCAGTAAAGGAAGGTAGGTGGCACACTATAAAAATAGAAATAGATATTATATGAATACTAAATGCATATACATATAAACACATAAGGTAAATACATATATATATAAATACTATATGGTGGGAAATTGCGGAAAAATATAGAAAATAACGTTTCTCCACCATACGGTAGGGCGCGGTCGCTGGTTCAGAAATATGATGTTAATTCGCTAACTGATTGAAACATCCAAGGCTTGCTACCTGCAATATGTTGGCCTCGTACTCCTGGAGACCACCTTGGATGTAGCACAGAACACAATGATATAAGCACAAACACAAAAATATTGTCCAAATTCGAGATTAACTTTAGAGCAGCGTGCAAGGCAGTTGGTTGCACAAATCAGACAGTTTTTACTTTATCGAAGTGTATAGATGCACAATTGCACCTGCAGTGACGCTACAGAGGCGCCACTTTATAGGTACATACTTACCCACTAAACTACAAATATAAACCTTGGCTACAAATATAACAGACCAGCGAAATAACAATATATATAATTATTAACAATAAAATGTTATAAATGGCGTAACAACTATATATGTATGACTAAATACTTGATGCAGATATTCAGTGGATTACAGATGTACAGCAGTAAATATAATTTGTTCTCGTTCTGATCAGTTGCACGTTACATATAAACTGTTACTTAGCAACATGATAACTTATTTTAAATGTAATGGATTAGAGTTTTTCTTCTAAAATCAATGTAATAATACTGTCCCTTAATCCATTACATTTAAGACATCTCTACATTTAAATAATATACATAATATAAAACAATATACAGAAGAGTAAACAATAGAACAATAGTAGCAAAAAACACATCCAAAACTAAATCTGTTAAAATAATAATGACTCATTATAGTTGAACCTTTATAGGTTCATCATTCATCATCATTATTTATATAATGCGATGGATTAGACAAACTTCTAAAATCAATGTGCCAAATAGTACTTAATGATCTGACAATGAAACTCTAAGTATCTATAGTAATATACTCCTGTGAGAATTACCAATTATTCTCCAGATTATTATAATCGTTACATAAACCTATTACTGGAGAAATGGCACATACGAGAAACAGCATGTTGGCACGAAATCGTTATATTACATTGCAGGCTGTTAGAGTGAGAACGAATGATTTGCGCCTACCAAGTCGTTAAATATCTGCATTATTAAAGCTGAAGTTACTCTATCACGTTCAAGTTTAAAATACTGAACCGAATTCGATGGAATTTAGTCGCGAGATAGATCAAAGATAAAAGTTGGAAATAGGAACGAAATAATAACTCAGGACAATTCACACTGCACCGTCTAGTCCCATGCTAAACAGAGTTTATGTTATGGGTACTAAACATCAGATATAAATACTTAAATATGTTTTTAAATGTAATATTGAATATATAATTAAATACATACATAATATGCATAACAAACACCCAGACTGATACAAAGAATCATACTCATCAATACAAACGTTTGTGCCGTGCGAAGAAACGAACCCGCGATCATCGGAAGTAAAGCGGTGTGCTAAACTGCTAGACCACCGAGGCCGTCAAATAATGACAGTATATCACTAGCAATGCGACTACTAAATCCCATTACTAATAATCCCTCCCGCTCTACCATTTAACTTAAATTAGTATTCAGCTGAAGCTCTAACAAAACCCTTTAGGACAATTGTAGATACTATATTCATTTATTAAAAACGACGCGATAAATCATATCACCTGAATCTACAATTAAAATGACTTGTTTGATAATATCATTGTAGTATAATAATATAATATCTCAGGACAATTCATACAGCGCCATCTAGTCTCAAGGTAAGTAGAGCTTTTGATAGAGCGATATTTTTTTATAGTCAACTATCCCAAACCAGTCTTCGGATGAGAATTTTAGGAGGCTGCGGGAGTTCGCGCATCTGTGGCACCGGAGGCGGAGCGAGTACGAGAGGACTGACGGTGGTATGTGTTCAAGAAGAGAGGATACTGCTGAAGACGGAATGCTGCCCCGCACCGAAGCCGTACATGTTTCGTCCGCTGCCCCAGAAGGGGGAGAGTGCGATAGAAGGGACAGGAGTAGAAATAATTTGTAGGGATCAAGAGAATGCTTGCTTATCAGCGCACATTCCCCGTAGATTCGGCCAGTATAACCGAGAGGTTGGAATGGCCATGGGTTGGTGGAGGGTTACCCCAAACCAGTCCGATACGAACAATCATACTCATGAATATTTGCATTGTGCAAGGAATCAAACCCAAGACCATCGGAAGTCTAGCGATGTGCCACTAGACCACAAAGACCGTAAATAATATTAATATAATACACTTTCACGACTCTCATCTCCGATGGGGTAGTCAGAGACATTACTGCTCTTGATGGCTGCACATCACTGGTTATTGCAACTGATGTCTACGTTTAGTATATAGTACAAAAGGTAAGGATGAGTCAACTATCTTACAAGTTAATTTGTTTTGTTATCGATGCTTCTATCAACGGAGAGTCGATTAGAAATATAAATTGAAATACTCACAAAAAAACTCATAAAAATGTAATTCTGAACAACACTTATTCAATACAGCTACACACACGTTCCTATTGTGATGAATCTATGTTCCGATTGAGTGATGCAATAAAAAAAAGATGACAATTCAATCAAACAAATCATTTTTTGAAAAAATGCTCGTTAGTTACTTGAATAAAGATTATTTCTATTTCTACATTTTTTGGTGTCGCTCAGATTTGAATTCACGACCTATAAATCTAAATCGGAGAAACCACAAAGCTAATGTTCTCTCAATTGTGGAAATAGATTAATAATTGCTTAAACGAGTTATTTGTTGTCATTGAAATCGAACAACTAACTCGCCTTTGTCATCTAAATATGTACCTACCTACATTATTAATTCAAATTTAATTTAAACCAAAATAATTGAGCAAGAGAACAATTAATTTGCATTTATGGAACTCATCGACAATCTATTATTTAACAATGAAAAAAGTTACAATGACTTATCTATATACTTTTATTTTTAATGGGTGATAATGGCATGGCAACCCCCCCCCCCCCCCTGCGCTATCAGTATACACTGGCGGGGCTCCAGCTTGGGGTGAGGTAAGAATGAAGGTCAGTTAGCCCATCGTGAATCTAACAATAAATCAATCAAGATGGTTTCCAGGGGGAACCACGAGGAGGTGGACCTGATAGGGGGCTACTATTCCCCATTACTGGGGAGGAAGGAGATTGTTAGTAATGTGGATTGATAACCCCATTGCTAGCAATGTACCATGTCAGGTCGACCTCCACGCGGTTCCCCCTGGAAACCATCGTGTTAAATTCCTGTTGAATTTGCACGATGGGCTAACTGACCTGACCTCATGTTCATCTTATCATCCTCCACTGGTGCCCCGCCAGCGTAAACCGTCAGCGCAGGCGGGTGCTCCATTCCATTATCAACCCTCAAAAAAAAAAAATCCCCATTACTAACAATCCCCTCTCCCCACTTTTTTCAATATACTAGCTATATTTGACCTGCATGTTTACAGCCTATGTTTTTTCTTCGGACTACTGTAATACTGTAGGCCGCAGATGGCCTTTACATCTTCACCGGACGATAGGGGGCGAGTGTATATGGCAGTACAAACCCGCGGAAGGACTTATAGAGCGGCTGAAGCCCAACACCAGCCTGATAAATACGACTTTAGTCTGAGGGCACCGCTATGGGTTCAAACCTCGGTCGTCATAATTTCAATCCTCGTTTAATTGGGACGGAGCATCGACCGGAGGGGATTATAGCCTATGTGTTATTCTGATGTATAAGCTATATTATTATAAAGTTTCATCAAAACCATTTCAGTAGTTTTTGCGTGAAAGAGTCACAAATATCCAGCCATTTAAGTATTTAATCATACTCAAATTTTCGCGTTTATAATAGTAACATTAATACATGAAGTAAAAACTTTGTACCCCTTTTTACAAAAATTGCGTAAACAAGAAATGCGAAATTTCGGACAATTATAATTTATACAAAGAATGAGTGCAGAACGCTAATATTTTTTTTCAATTTATGTATAAAAAATACATTTAATCCATAAAAAAACATTACACACACTATCCACGTATTTCACACACGCATGTACTCTTTTGTTTATTGTTTAAAGTCTGTGGTCAAATTGAGAAATAGATTTTGACCATAGTACCTTAATAATGTTCAAAGATATAATTTAAGTTAATTATGGTCGAATTACAACCACTAACGACCAATAGTTTCAATTAATACGTTAATAGTGTAAGAAGAAAACATTTTTGTATCGTTTCTAATTATTAAACAAAATAAATATTTCAATTACAGATGAGATCTAGGTCAGACAACTCTATCTACCTAAAGTACTGTAATATTTGATTAAAAAAAAAGAGAATCCCTACAATAATTGCACACTTGTAAAGTCGGGGCGAATTGGTAGTCATAACTATAGTAAAAATCTTTACAGTTTCTAAAAATACTTTCCTATATACATCGCTGAAAATACAGCGACTAAAACAAGCTACTTTCCAAAATCAACAGTAAACCCATGAGAAACCGTAGCAATGTGGTTGTAGTCTTAACCAAAAATCAGTTACAAAATTTTTCAGAAACTAGAATGACGCATCTGCAACATTTTTCGTAACTAATTGCGGATTTGCCCCCTAATTTGGGAGACAAACGTCCGCTACGTGAGTCGTACCTTATTCCTCCAACGTTCAAAATGATCCTATTCTCCCCATCCATTCCTGCTCAGAAAAGTTTCTCCCACACGTCAAACATTTGAATTTATTTCACAGCACTATTGTTCAATCACAGCCCGTTCAATTACGGATTTGAAAATGGGACGTCGGATTCGAAAATTAAACACCGGATTTGAAAATTAAACGTCGGGTTCGAAAATGGAACGCCAAATTCGAAAATGGCACTGTTGTTGCACGTTTTGAAATCGAATTTCGAATTAGCGGTTTGTTGTTGTTGCGCGTGCCCGCTGCGCGGAGGCGCGGGTTCACGTCCGATGCGGACGGCCGTCGGTTCGGCACTGGGATGAAACGGGATGAAGCGGTGAAGGGATGCTGGGATGGTGACCACCTAACACCCCCCACCTGTGGCCTGCACGCACTGCAGTCGACCTCTTTGCGCCTTTCAAGTTTATGATGTGGTTTCATAGATTTTTCATTAATTACAGTTAATGGGTACGTTAGTTAGGGATTATTTATATATACTGAATATTATAAGGCGTTAAAGTTTGTGAGTTTGAATGTTCAGCGTAATCTCCGAAACTACTGACCCGATTATGAAAATTCTTTTTAGCGTTAGATAGTCCATTTATCGAGAAAGGTCATAGGCTTTATAATTTAACAATTAGCATAACTCTGGACAATTCACACAGCGCCATCTAATCTCAAGGTTAACATAGCTTATGTTGTGTGTACTGGTCAACTTATATAAATATATACATAATATTCACAGAAATAAGAAATAAAAACAAACAATCATAGTTATTAATACAAATATTTGTACCGTGCGAGGAATCGAACCCACGAACATCGGAAGTAAAACGGTGTGCAACATCGCTAGACCAACGGGGCCGTCAAAAAAAAGTTAAATAATTAAAAACTTCCTTTTCAACATTAACTTTCAACCATCTTTTTCTGCCCCAAAAATAACTTTGTTAACAATTTTTCACCCTTAATCTAGGGTAACGCTCGAAAGTGACAACATTGGGAAATGTGTGACCATGCTGAAAGCGTCTCTACCCCGAAACAGGTCAAGCATTCTCGACATATGTACGTGAGCAAATTTACTTTGTTATTATCACAAAACTTAATATGTGCTCAAGAAAGTTTTAAAAATAAGAGACACTAAGTGGGTAGTTATATATTAATCTACAGTAACCGTTTACCATCAGATAGGCCGTATGATGTTCGCCAATACTTTTGTAAAACTGCGTATACACAGATGTAGCCTCGGTGGTCTATTGGTTAAGCCCACCGCCATACTTTCGATGGTCGCGGGTTCACATTTTTCGAAGTATATTATGTACACAGAAAATACTCTGACCAATACAAACAATCAAACTCATGAATAAAAATGTACGTACCGTGAGAAGAATCGAACCCGCGGCCATCAAAAGTATAGCAGTGAGCTAAACCGTTATACCACCGCGGTCGTCGAATACATACGTTTAACTACCCAACTAAGATACTTCATATAAAACACAAAACAACTCTCAATATTAGAAAAGTTTCATTTTTTATAATTTAGCCTCAACAACTTGAACTTGCAACTTTATTTACTCGACACAAGGAACACAGGTAAGCTGCAGGACTTTGTATAATGCCAATGTATTTTGGACGTTTAGGAATTATGTATTTAAAATTCAATTTCATTTGTACATTTTATGTTACTGGAATAGGAAAGCTGTATATAGTAAGTGATTATTTTTGGCTATATATGTGAATAGCACCAAGTATATCACGTTATCACATTGTCATATGACACCCATAATATCTGTCATGCGTTGTTATACCCAATAATAATAATAATCTATACATATAAATAAAATTGGAGTGTCTGTTTGTAATACTGAAATAACCGTTTTTTACTACATGCAGATGAATATAAATATGGTACATACACTAAAATAACATTTTTTACCATTTTTGTCTGTCTATCTGTCTGTCTGTTTGTTCATGCTAATCTCTGAAATGGCTGGTATGATTTTGACAGGACTTTTATAGTCAGGTAGCTTATGTAATAAAGAGTAACTTAGGTTTAGTTTAGAAAACCCTTTATTTTAGAAAAATAAAGTTAAATTCCACGCAATAATCTCAAGACAATTTGTACGAGACATAAAAACTACTTTGTATTTGTTTTAAATTTCGAATGCGCTTCGCATTAAAAGAAATTATTAGAAATTATTCTTAAAACAAATGAATATTTGTTTTAAGAATATTTTTTTTATTAGAATAATGTGAAAATACCATCATGGTGTTACATTTATCTCCATAAATATTCAACTATGATTCATACACAATTAACACAGCACCATCTAGACCCAAGTTAAGTTACATAAAGCTTGTGTTTTGGATGCTCGATAACTGATACATAGATTTTTTTCGTAAATACATACATATTGTACATAGAAAATACCCAGATCGACACAAACAATTGTACTCATGAACACAAATGTGTGTGCCGTGCGAGGAATCGAACTCGCGAGCATCGGAAGTCGGTGTGCTACACCGCTAGACCACCGAGGTCGTCAAGGTATCATATCTTCATTCATTTATTCATAATTTATGAACCACGCCCTTGTCCTGTGTCTTTTTTGTTTCTTATTATGTATTCTAGGCATCAGATTGTTTCTATATTAGTTACGATCATCTGATGATTCGCAACATGTACACATGTAATTGGCATATATATTGTCTTTAAAACTATGATAAATGCTTAATGTAAATTACAAAGTTTAACTACATCACGTTATCATATAAAACACCTAAATATCTTAGAATTGCAACGCATGACGTTGCCATTCTGAGATATTTCCTTACGCCATAATTTTACTGCCATAGCTCAACCTTCAACCGAAATACATCTTGCACAGCACGCTGCTGGTATGCAGAAATAGGTGATATAAATTAAAAACTTTTTTATATATTTTATTAACTAACGTAATAGAATTAGAAATAACATTTATTCAAATTAATTAATATAAATACTTTTAAACAGTCATATGTTTTATTCTGTTTTCATTCGAAACGCAAGCTCATATCAAGAAGAATAAGAATGAAACTCGCGTGCTGCTCATTTAAATAGATATTGTTCAGAATTACATTTTTAAGAAATTTGTATGAATACAAACTGCCATATAGCAAAGTTGACATAAATAAATAGTTACTGGAATATACATATATATTACAATATAATAATAAATGGGTACATTTATGTCATTACCTACAGATGCTAGACCAACAAGGCTGTCAAAATAAAAATAAGTTAAGTAATTTAAAACTACATCCTTTTCAACCTTACTTACACTAATTTACAGCCCTCTTTATCTACCCCAATAATAACATTGGGTACATTTATATCATTACAGACTTTCTACATGAAATTATTGAAAATAGAAGCATTACAGACCATGGACTAGGTGCATCTGAAAAAAAAACAGGATTTCTGTGACGCTATTTCTCTCACCATCAACCGTCCAATCTCATTCCTGTAACATTACAGAAAAAAAACTAAAGTACTGAAAATATTCCACCTAGAGTGTAACACTCGCATCCCTAGAAATATTCTCAGTTATAGCCCACGTAAATAGGTGCTTTCTTATCAGGGTTGTCAACTTTAAAACATTTGACCTCGTACGAAGAAATCAAACATATGATTAAACCTCGATAATATGGATCTTTAAACTCGTACATTATCGCATTTTGACTGATTTCCATAGTTATTTAATGGATTTACATTAAAACTCGAAGCAAAAACTTGGTACACCTTTTTTGAAAATTGGATGGAGGAATATGAAATTTCACACACTTACGAATTATACGGAGAAAGAATGCAATATGGTAGTTTTTTTTTTAATTAGGTGTAAAAAATAGTTTAGAACATTAAAAAAAAACATTACACACACAATTACCATGTGTTTTACACACACACATAGAAAGAATAGTCTTTGACAATAGAACCTTAATAATATTCAAAATTATAATTTAATAATTTACAGTAGAATTTCGACCATTGGGCGACCACTAATTTTCTTTAATTCCGCTACCATTAGCATGTGTGAGACCACAAATATTCATTGCGGAAACCTAACCACCGCTACTGGAAGCGCTACGACCTTCTCTATTAGTGATCAAATTCCGGCCGTTAATGAGTCTACATCTCACTCGGATATAGCTTGGAAACCTAGTGTTGATATTTCGGCGACCGATTTGGGCAACTAATAGTCAACACTAGGTTTCCAAGCTATAGAGTTTTGTCGCTCACCAGTCAACACTAGGTTTCCAAACTATAAAGTTTTGTCGCTCAATATTGAACACTTAAGGCTTCCGAGCTATAGAATTTTGTTGCTCAACACTAGATTTCCAAGCTATAGGGTTTTGTCGAGACAAGGCTTCCGAGCTATAGAATTTTGTCACTCGATACTAGATTCCCAAGCTATAGAGTTTTGTCGCTCAATATTGAACACTAGGCTTCCGAGCCATCGAATTTTGTTGCTTAACACTAGATTTCCAAGCTATAGAGTTTTGTTGAGACAAGGCTTCCGAGCTATAAATTTTGTCACTCAATACTAGATTCCCAAGCTATAGAGTTTTGTCGCTCAACATTGAACACTAGGCTTCCGAGCCATAGAATTTTGTTGCTCAACACTAGATTTCCAAGCTATAGAGTTTTGTCGAGACAAGGCTTCCGAGCTATAGAATTTTGTCACTCAATACTAGATTCCCAAGATATAGAGTTTTGTCGCTCAACATTGAACACTAGGCTTCCGAGCCATAGAATTTTGTTGCTCAACACTAGATTTCCAAGCTATAGAGTTTTGTCGAGAAAAGGCTTCCGAGCTATAGAATTTTGTCACTCAATACTAGATTCCCAAGCTATAGAGTTTTGTCGCTCAACATTTAACACTTAAGGCTTCCGAGCTATAGAATTTTGTTGCTCAACACCAGATTTTCAAGCTACAGAGTTTGTCGCTCAAAAGTTCAGACACTAGGCTTCCAAGCTTTACCTGAACTCTATTCTACACATACTCATTCTCAGGTCTCACAGATTTCTCATCAATCAAATCTCGTACAACTTAAAGTACAATGAGAATGATCTCGTAC